AATAATAGCGAACCTAAAGACAGGACAATAGAAACTATCCAAAATGAAGCACAAAGATAAAAAAGACAGAAATATTAGGTCATTAAATATGAAACATCAATTTCAAATCAGAAGTGTAGTTTATTATATCTCGAACAAGAAGCAGTACAATTAATCAAAGTATGCGCCTAAACTATTAACAGTTTTGCTGTCTTAATGGTAGCTTGTTTATGCCAGCAGCAAAGCATAGAAATCAAGTGGCGATGAACTCGTGAAAGGCATTTCCCAACAGCTTGTTAGAATTGAATATTTTTCCTTGCAAGAAGTGGTCCAAAGCCTGGAAGAAGTGGGAGTCAGTTGGTGCTAGTTCTGGTGAATACGGTGGATGACAGAGAGTTTCGAAGTCTAGCTGTTATAGTTTGAGCAGCGTTGTTTGTGAGACATGAGGTCCAGAAGTGTCTTGCAAGAGGATTGGCCCATCTCTATTGACCAATTTCGCCTGCTTCATCGCAAGCATCCTCATCATTTTATCCAATTGGTTGCAGAAGACATCTGCCATAATCGACTGACCAGGTTTCATGAAGCTGTAGTAGATAATACCAGTGCTGGACCACCAAACAGACATCATTAGTTTTTTTTTTTGATGGATATTTGGTTTTGGACTATGTTTTGACACTTCATCTTTACCTAACCATTGTGCCAAATGCTTGTGATTGTCAAAAAGAATCCATTTTTCATCACACATAACAATACGGTGTAGAAATATTTCACCTTTATGTCGTGACAGCAAAGAAAGGCAAGCTTTGAGACAATTTCTCTTCTGACACTCATTTAATTCATGTGGAACCCATCTATCCACCTTCTTTACCTTGCCCATTTGTTTCAAATGGTCCAATATCATTGGAATAGTAATGTCAAACCTTGCTGCTAATTTACGCATAGGTTGAGATGAATTTGCTTCCACTACAGCTTTCAGCTCATCATTAACCACATTGGTCTCAGGTCACCCACGTGGCTCGTTTTCAGGATTAAACCATTGACCTACTGTGCGTTCATTAGCCACATCCTTCCCAAACACTCTGTTGATCTTTTGAGCTGTCTGTGCCACATTGGTTCCACAATGGAACTCATATTTGAAAATAACAAGAATTTTTTACTTATCCATGGTTTCACAAAACTTGCTCTAAAAAAAAATTTGAAAGATAATCACAAGCCAAACATGCATTTGCAAGGCTGAGGATGTACCTTCACAATAAACATAAAACAAGAAGTGTCAAAGTGAAATGTCAGAGATGTCAACTCTCAAACTTAGTACTTAAGGAAATCAGACATTTCATACTTAATAATCTAAATAAAAAGAACAATGTCAGTGACCTCTAAGACAATATAAACTACATATGTGCAACTGGAGTACAGAAAGAGATGAGAAATGGTGGCCACGGGTGGGAGGAAGAAGGAGCATTACAAAAAAAATATCTGAAGAATAATAGGTAAAATTTTTCCAGATTTGATGAAAACTATAATCTCAGAAACTAAGATGCCTCAAAAAACCCCAAAGAAAACCATACCAAGACATATCAAATTCCTAAAAACAGTGATAAAGCAAACTTTCTGAAATGCAGTACATTTCTAAGAAACTGTGATGAAAAAGAGTACAGAAGACAAACAATAACATTGATTCTAAAACTATACATATGATTCTACTTACAGAAAGATGGAGTGGACACACTTTTCCCTAGTCTTCCCACTAAATACAACTAGAAACCATGGACATTATATATAAAACAAATATAAGAAGACTGTGAAAATAATCAGTAAATAGAAATTACCCAATCTGAACAATAGAGAGAACATAGACTGAAAAACAACCAAGCCTCAGAGACCAGTGGGACAACAACAAAAGATCTACCATTTGTGCCATCAGAGGCTCTGAAGAAAAGGAGATAGAGGGAAAAGCTGAAAAAGTACTCAAAGAAATATGGGTGAACACTTCTCAAATTTGGCAAAAGACATAAACCCCAAACAGAATAAATCCAAGGAAATCCACACCAAGACACCTCATAGTCAAACTTCTGAACACTAAAGACTAAATAAAAATCTTGAAAGTAATGAGAGAGAAATGATACTTTCCCTATAATGGAAAAATTCCAATAACAGAGCATTTCTCATCAGAAACCATGGTGGCCAGAAGGAAGTGGCACATTTTTCAAGTGCTCAAAGAAAAGAATTAACAACCCAGAATCCCATATCCAGCAAAAATATCCTTCAGGAATGAAGTGGAAATAAAGACATTCTAAGATGAAGGAAAACTAGTAGAATCAGGAAGTTCTCTAAAGAAAAAGGGAAAAATAAAAGAAGAAAACTTGGAACATCAGGAAGAAAGAAAAATCAAAATTAAATGATCATCTACATAGAAAATTCTAGGCTGAGCGTGGTAGCTCACACCTAGCACTTTGGCAGGCGGAGGCAAGAGGATCACTTGAGCTCAGGAGTTTAAGACCAGCCTGAAATATATAGAAAAAATTAGCCGGGCATGGTGGCACATGCCTGTAGTCCCAGCAACTCAGGAGGCTGAGGCAATAGAATGGCTTGAGCCCAGGATGACGCCACAGCACTCTAGCCTGGGCAACAGAGCAAGATTCTGTCTCAAAAAAAAAAAAAAAAGGCCGGGCGCAGTGGCTCACGCCTGTAATCCTAGCACCCTGGGAGGCTGAGGCAGGCAGATTGTTTGAGCTCAGGAGTTCGAAACCAGCCTGAGCAAGAGCGAGACCCCGCCTCTACTAAAATTAGAAAGAAATTAATCGGCCAACTAAAAATATATAGAAAAAATTAGCCAGGCATGGTGGCGCATGCCTGTAGTCCCAGCTACTCGGGAGGCTGAGGCAGAAGGATCACTTGGGCCCAGGAGTTTGAGGTTGCTGTGAGCTAGGCTGACGCCACGGCACTCACTCTAGCCTGGGCAAAAGAGTGAGACTCTGTCTCAAAAAAAAAGAAGACCAGCCTGAGCAGAGCTAGACCCCGTCTCTACTAAAAATAGAAAGAAATTAGCCAGGCATGGTGGTGTGCACCTGGAGTCCCAGCTACTCGGGAGGCTGAGGCAGGAGGATCGCTTGAGCCCAGGAGTTTGAGGTTGCTGTGAGCTAGGCTGACACCATGGCACTCTAGCCCAGGCAACAGAGTGAGATTCTGTCTCCAAAAAAAAGAAAGAAAGAAAATTCTAAGAAAACTACAAAAATAAAAACCTCCTAGTACTTAAATGAGTTCAATAAGGTCACAGAATATAAGATAAAATAAACATACAAAAATCAGTTGTATTTCTATAATAGCAATGAACATTTGGAAACCAAAATTAAAAATACGATACCATTTACAACAGCTCCAAAAAAAATGTTTAATGAAATGCTTAGGTGTAAATCTAACAAAATATACATAGGACTTACAATGCTGAAAACAATAAAAACTTTTGTTAAAAACATCAAAGATCTCACTCTAGCCCGGGCAACAGAGCAAGACTCTGTCTCAAAAAAAAAAAAAATCAAAGATCTAAATAAAGGACAGACATACTGTCTTTTAAAAAACAAAAAACAATGTATATACATAGACACACACATATACGCACACACACACATATGGCCTCACCCCCTCTACCAGCACCAGCTGGGTACAACCCACAGAGGTCTTGTTGGCTTTTGATGCTTCTTCTCGGAAGACTGTAATAAGTTCCTCCAAACGCCTTAATTTTACCTCTTCTGGGACATCATCCTTCATCCTGTGATATGCTCGTGTCTTCTATTAAAAAAAGGAGATGAAAGTCACTAAGGACTTGCAGAATCCATTCCTAACGCACAGAGGGAGACCATGTTCTTTCTACCTACAAGTTACAGCCACATGTACGGAAACCCAAGCCAGAGCCAAGACAGTTCTCTGGCTCTGGGAGCATTCCAAGAGAAAAATATAGTGGAGTCACATTTTTGCAAGGGTTAAATTCTAAATTTAGCACATGAAAATCATAGACTCAAAATTACTCTTGATATTCGCCCTGAGGTTACACTTGTACATTTACTAAATGACTCATACCAGGTTACTCAGCAGCACTATTTATAAGGACACAAGATGCAACTCAGGCTAAATGTTTATCAACAGATAACTAGTAAATGAAATTACAGTTTATCTACACAATGGAATATGATGCAGCTGTTAAACAGAATGATAGTTCTGTATGTACTGATATGAATTATTCTCCAAAATATACTGCTAACTGAAATAAGCAAAGAACAGATCAACATGTATAAAATGATAACTTTGGTGTAGAAAGAATATATATAAACATATTTATAAATACGTGAAAGATCTCTGGAAAGTTACAGAAGACACTGCTAAGAGACTGCTAAGAGTGACTATCTTCAAGGAAAGAACTGAAAAACTAGGCAACCTGGGAAGAAAGAAGGACTACTTCTCACCATATACCATTTAGCTTTTTGAATTTTATACCATAAGCATATATTATCTACTCAAAAAAAAATTTATCCTTGAAAAGCCTGGAAAATCATCTAAAACCACAGTGCATATATATGTTTAAATACATCTTTATGTATACGATCTCATGCTCAGTACAGTTAGAGAACCACTGAGCTAGACAAAAGTATGGAATAAAAGGAAAATCTATGCACCAAGGTATAGACATTCAAACCAATCTGCCTTTGAGAGAACTACAAAATCCACAAAGGAAAATGGAAAATCCTAAAATACTTATAGAGTTTACTCCATTCTGTCTTACTATTAATAACAATAACTTACCTCTATCATGTACTTACTATACACGAAGCACTACTCTTTAAACACGTTATCTTACTTAATCCTCACAACAACTTTATGAGGCTGGTACTAATGTCATCCCCACGTCACAGATGAGGAAACCAAGAACCTTGCCCAAGGTCACATAGTTAGTAAGTGACAGAGGCACAATTTGAATGCTTGTTCTCATCTACTAGGTTACTAGATTAAGTCCCTATAATCATAACCCTAACCTAGGAATCAAGTCCCAAAGTAAACACTCATATTCAATGCCCATGCGATACGCTTCTACCACATACTAAAGACCCATTTCCTATTCCAAGGATTATAAGGAATTTCTTTTGCATATTTGTGATGTCCATGGAAACGGAACAAAACAGAACCTAACAGCTTCTCTAATCTTCATCTCTGAAATAATTCGGTAAATGAGACATGAATATATACATTATCCCACTTACAGTGCCGACAGAACACTAGGCAGCAGGCTTTAAAACAAATAAATTAGCTTGGTTGATGGCAGCTCAGTGACAGTGAGGCTCAAGTCATGAGTTCAGTTATTTGTTAGCCAGCTCTTCTGAGCCCCCTAGCCACATGGAGCCTTCAATCTCCAGCCAAACACAAGGTATGCTGCCCCCAAGGTGACTTAGGGGTTGAGGAGTAACCCATGCAAATCAGTCCCTACCACTAAGAGCATGACAGCAGACCTGCTCTCTCCCCTCTCTGCAGGAAATAGTCATTATTCTCCCTTTCCTTCCTAATCTCCTTCTGCTTGTTTTCCTGGGAATCTGTTTTATACGGGAAACTCCAAAGTGGGTATCGGTGGGTTCATCTGACCTAGAAAAATATAAATTAGAACTGGGGATGGTGGTGTGCACCTGCAGTCCCAGCTAATCCAGAGGCTGAGGCAGTAGGATCGCTTGAGCCCAGGAGTTCAAGGCTTCAGTGAGCTATGATTGTGCCTATGAACAGCCACTGCACTCCAGTCTGGGCAACAGGGTGAGACCCTGTCTTTAAAAAAACAAAAAAAACAAAGGACTATCCAGAATCTACAAGGAACTCAAACAATTGAATACAAACCCACCAAAAAAACATAAAGCCATTAAAAAGTACGCAAAGGAGGCCAGGCATAGTGGCTCATGCCCGTAATCCCAGCACTTTGGGAGGTCAAGGCAGGAGGACCACTTGAGGTCAGGAGTTTCAAGACCAGCCTGAGCAACATAGCAAGACCCTATCTCTCCAAAAATTAGAAAAATTAGCCATGCATGGTGATGCATGCCTGTAGTCCTAGCTACTGGGGAGGCTGAGGCAGGAGGATTGCTTGAGCCCAGGAGTTTGAAGCTGTAGTGAGCTCTGATGATGCCATTGCACTCTATCTTGGGCAATAGAGGGAGTGTCTCAAAAAAGAAAGAAAAAAAGTGGGGAAAGGATATCAATAAGCATATGAAAATATGCTCGACTCAATTATCAGAGAAATGCAAATTAAAACCACAATGAGATACCATCTTATACCAGTCAGAATGGCTATTATTAAAAAGTGAAAAAATAACATGTTGACAAGGATGCAGAGAAAAGGGAATGCTTATACATTGTTGGTGGGAATGTATATTAGTACAACCTCTAAGGAAAACAGTATGGAGATTTCTCAAAGAACTAAAACTAGAACTACCATTTGACCCAGTAATCTCACTACTGGGTATCTACCCAAAGGAAAAGAAATAATTATATCAAAAAGATACCTGCACTTGTATGTTTATCACAGCACTATTCAAAATAGCCAAGATATGGAATCAACCTAAGTGTC